TCGGACGCTTAACCGACTGCGCCACCCAGGCGCCCCTTGTGACTATTAAGCAAAACAAAGTTCTGGCCCTAATTCTTCATTTCCTGCATTTATTAAAGAGTACTAATTTCCCACAAGATGACCTCCCAAAGATGACTTTGATCACCTCCTACAGGTTTTAATATATAGCAACTCATTATCACTCATATCTGAATGAACTATTTCAACTCTGGTCTTCACTTTGAATCAAACAAATAAAATATAAATTTCCAAGGTGGGGGTTAGAATCACTTCACAGATTACTTCCTAATTGTAAGGATACAAAACAACCTTTAAAATGGAGAGATTTGACCGTCATCACCTTAACCATTTGACCAAATTTGGCCTCATGATATCAATATGTGCCTCTTGATGTATGACAATGCAAAATACATAATTTATTAAATATTCTTACAAAATTGTCTAACACAAATTCAATCTTCTCTCTACACTTAATTTCCAATGTAGATGGCAGAATAAGTTAAATGATAACATTAGGAAACAAGCACAACAATCCAAAATATGGAATACCCTACAAAATAACTACACGGACTCTAAGAAGAAAAAGCCAACATCATGGAAAAAAGGAGTAAAGGTAGAGAACTAAAGCAGACTAAAAGAGACATATCAACTAAATGTAACTTATGAACCTAGAATTGACTCTAGATAAAAAGTAAAATAAATAGCTATTGAAGTCAATCTTGGGACACCTAAGAAAATTTGAACATGGCATCACCTTATATATTTTAGAAGATGTGATTGTATTCTGGCCATATAGAAAATTATAGGAAGATAAAGCAAAAATGACAAACTGTTAGCTTTTAAACAGGGTGGGAGTGTGTAGGGTAGTAAAAACACATTCATTGTACTTTTTTTTTTCCATTGTACTTTTTCAACTTCCCTGTATGTTTGGAAGTTTTCATAATGACAAGATGGGGAAGTTTTGTGGACAGTTTTCTCCCTGTTATCCTTTTAATAATTTCTAATAAATTTTGAATTCTAAGAAAAGAGTGTAGATTATAGAACATCTGTTATTTGGACCTAACCACAAACTGCATCATATCCTTTTCTACTTCTTCAGCAAACTAGCTATATTCTCAACGTATATTGATAGCCACTAATTCCAGAGTATTTATTCCAGCATTAATTTCCTGATGCAACTTAGGAATGAAGTTGTCTCACATGTTCTTTTTTCTTTTTTAAGTCTATTTATTTAGTAATCTGTACACCCAATGTGGGGCTCAAACCCATGACCCCAAGATCAAGAGTCACGTGTTCTTCTAACTGAGCCAGCCAGGCACCCCCAGCTTCTTTATATTCTACTGTACTTTATTCAGAATCAATGATCTCAAGTTCAATAGGAGATGGGTTGTGATTGGAGGCTTACTAAGTTCATTACCAATATGGTCTTTCAGAGGAATTCACTAATAGTTATGCTATTGATTATCACCAGAAGAACAGTAGCTAATCTTTATTTGCCAAATAATCTTACAAGGGTGTACAGCTACTAATCCTCACAAAAAAACACTATTAGATAGGTATTAACTTCACCATTTTATAACTGAGGCACAGAGCTAATAAGTATATTGTTACATATCTTGAAGATGATGATCAGCTAAGTATGTGCTGTGACTAAAGGCTTTCCTTCAGTTCCACAACTGAAAGAATTTCTTCTCTAGAGTGAATTTGCTGACATCCAACAGGAATTGAGTGATTCTAGGTCTTTTTTTTTTTTTTTAACGTTTATTTATTTTTGAGACAGAGAGAGACAGAGCATGAACAGGGGAGGGGCAGAGAGAGGGAGACACAGAATCGGAAACAGGCTCCAGGCTCTGGGCTGTCAGCACAGAGCCCGACGCGGGGCTCGAACTCACGGACCATGAGATCATGACCTGAGCCAAAGTCGGACGCTTAACCGACCAAGCCACCCAGGCACCCCTCTAGGTCTTTTTTATATTCAATAAATTAAGATACCTGGTATGAAATCTTTTATGACAAATAAATTCTAAGAATGACACCCCAGAAAAGGGTTTCCTAAACATTTTCCCCTAGTATTAATATTCTATGAAGAATGCAGTAAAGGAAAAAGTACTTTTATATAAACTCAATAAGGGTACAAATTCTCAGATTTGATAGTGGCATGAATATTGGGCCTTCATACATTCCTCACCTTTTTTAGAGTTTTTCACCATTATAAATTCTATGATGTTCATTCAATAAGGTATAAACAAAATCTGAAGGCATCCCACATTCTTTACATTCACAGTTTCTCCTTAGTGTACATTCAATGATGCTCATTTTATCTAAAATGCCTTCCCACATCACTCCCCACTTCATAGGATTGTTTTTTCAGCATTGTGAAAGATCTGATCAGTAAGGATTCAGTGAAGTTGAAAGGACTTTCCACATACCTTCAATTCAGAATTTCTCCTTAATATGCATTTTTTATGTTGATTAAATATTGAACTCCCATCTACAGACCTTCTCACATTCCTTATATTTGAAGGGTTTCTCTTTAGTGTGCATTCTCTGATAATGGTTAAGTCTAATGGTTCTGTCTAAGGCCTTGCCAAACATTTCTTATATTCATAGGGCTCCTCACTAGTATGAATACTCTGATGACCTTTCAGGTGTGAATGAAGGCTTTCCTACATTCCTTACATTCAAAGATTTCTCACCTTTGTGAATTTTTTATGTCGACTAAATTGTTGACGCAATATGAATGATTTTCATATTCCTTACGTTCATAGAGTTTTCACTAGTATGAGTTTTCTGGTGTATTCTTACATACTTGCCCAAACTAAAAGTCTTTCCACATTCCTTACATCCATAGGGTTTCTCACCAGTATGAGTATTTTGGCATACTCAAAGACCTATGCCAAAACTAAAAGCCTTCCCACATTCTAGACATTTATAGGGCTTCACTCTATTATTTTTCAGATGTTGAGTGAGTTGTCACAAAGCGTAAAGGCCTTCTCACATTCTTTACATGCATACAGCTTCTCACTAGTATAAATTCTTCCATTATTGATTAGGTCTGAGCCATAATTAAAGATCTTCCCACATTCCTTACGTTAATAAATGTTTTCTCTACTAGGAATTCTGTGATGTAGGGTAAGGGATATATCTCTGTGAGTAGATACATATTCATGATGATTTTCATTTGGCTGAAATATTCTTCTTGACGTTCTTATTGTTCCTCAATGTTGACTTTGTTCTTCTGCTATTTTGGATAATGGAACTCTCAGAATGAAGCATTTTCTTTCCTTTGTCTTCCATTTGTACAAATTTATTTCAAAAATAAATTCTTCTGAAGGTAATGTCTTTGTATCATACTGGGTCTCCAAACCTGAAAAGAAAAAGAACAAGAAAACAAACAAAATTTGTTTTCCCAGACTGGGGGGAGATAAGTAATAAACTATAAAAAGAAAAACTGTAGATAAACAGAGATAAGTGATAAGCTGAAAATAATGCACATTAGAAAGGAAGAAAACAGAGTTTAGAGAATAATCCACGTGTATGTTGTAAGGTCTGTGACAAAGAAAACACATTAAATCATTGGGTCTAAAATTTAAGTGTTCAGTTAGAATCACCTAGAGAGGCTGTTGCATGTATCAATTTCAGAAACCAGCCCAGACCAAGTGAATCAGAATCTTTAAGAGTAGGCCTTGGGAATTTGTATTGTTCACCCCACCGTCAGATACATCTGAGGCAGATCAATGTTTGACATTCTCTACTTGCCGATGGTATTTTTTTCCCAGTGGTTTCTAACTATACTAGAATAATATATGATCACTTAAAAATGGATAACAAGGCCCTTCTATTAAGAGCTCATCTCAAGCCAAGACCCTTTTAACCTATAAATCATGTCACATCATTTCCCATCTCTTAGAACTTTCCATAGGGTGTTTCATCCCCATGATCCTCTGGTATAGCTCTTTGTAGGACTAGCTCCTTCTCATTCTTCAGGTCTCAGATTAAAAGTAATTTCTTCAGGGGTGGCTCAGTTGGTTAAGTGTCCAACTCTTGATTTCAGCTCACGTCATGATCTCACAGTTCATGAGTTGGAGCCCCCATGTCAGGATCTGTGCTGACAGTGTGGAACTTGCTTAGGATCCTCTGTCTTCCTCTCTCTCTGCTCCTCCTCCACCATCCCTCTCAAAAATAAATACACTTAAAAAGAAAAAGAAAATAAAAGTAACTTCTTCAGGGGCACCTGGATGGCTCGGTTAAGCATCTGACTCTTGATTTAGGCTTAGGTCACGATCTCATGGTTCGTGGGACTGAGCCCTACATTGGGCTCTGCACGCTGACACTGCAGAGCCTACTTGGGATTCTCTCTCTCCCTCTCTCTCTGCCCCCCTCCTACTTGCGTACACGCTCTCTCTCTCTCTCTCAAAATAAATAAACTTAAGAAAAGGAAAAGTAAAATATGAATAAAGATAAATAATACAAAGACAAGTCACTGAGGAAGGTATTTCGATGCTTATCAAAATACTCTTTACCATAATTATGCAATAGTTGCTATGTACGGCTCATTGCCTATAATCTCTCACGTCTTCCATTATTACTGACCTATCTTTTTCCTACAGTGATTAAATACATTTTCCTGTATCATTTTCCTTTCAGATGGAAATGAAGTTGATCCAAACAAGCTCAGTTAAATGTACAAATAGAAAAGGTGACTGCATTTTTCTGTTGTATTTACTCTTAAATATAAAGGTATCTCCACCACAGCTGACCATTTGTCCTGTGGCTGCCCTTTGTCCCCCATTTCAATAAGGCAATAGGATGTTTAATTTCATATTCACTTTTAATATTACACATCTACCCAAAGATGACCAATCTTTTTGCTCAGTGAAACATTTTGTCAGGTGTTCCAATCTATTTCTTCATGGTCCAGGCTAACCAGTATCTTAATGATTATTCTGGTATTATAATAGATAATATAGTAGGTGTATCCAAAATAGGTTATGCTACGCTAAGAATCAAAATGTTGACAGGGCTGTGTTTCTTCTGGAAGCTCCAGGGGAGAATCTACTTCCTTCCCTTTTCTAGCTTCTTGTGGTTGCCTTCATTCCCTGACTCATGGGACATCTTGTGCTAGACTCATATGGAAGTAGATTGCCTATCCTTACATAGGTGAGTGATCTTTATTATAAAATTAATGCATTAATTTTCTTACCATTTTATAACACTGCTTTTAAATAATTAAGTCACTGCAAGTATGCCTCTCTCTCATAATTGGAGAAACTGCTTATCAGCCCATGGTCACAGGTAAGTGGCTTTTTTAATGTAACAATGTTTCTAATGCTGTATTATGAATATGACTGTAATAATATATGCCATAAAAATTCTGTAATATTCATTCATTAAAGTATAGGCTAGGTTACCATGAAGCAATCACATCTTTACACTAGGCTAACATGAGGCAGTCATATTGCTGCTTTTTCAGTATCAATGCATGAATTGTTACACTTGTAAATATATATGAATTTCTTTTTCAAATTACCTTTTCATTTTTGATGTCCAGTGTTGGTAATATGTATAATATCTACAGTGTTTTGTATCATATAAGACAATTTTGATATAGGTGCTGACAGACAATTCATCTTGTAAACAGACAACATAAACTCAGGATATCAATAAATACAGTACAGTTCTATAAATGCATTTTCACTTCTTTATGACTTTTTTAACAACATATTCCTTTCTCTAGCTTACTTCATTGAGAGAATATAGTATGTGGATACATATAACATACAAAATGTATCAATTGACTCTTCATGTTATTGGTAAGGCTTCTAGTCAACAGTAGGCTACTAGTAGGTAAGTTTTGGGGGGAGTCAGAGGTTATACACAGATTTCAACTATGTGAGGTGGGGGATTGGCACCCCTAACCTCCTTCATGATCAAGGCTCAACTGTATGCTATGAGTCTGGAGCAAAGAAGCCATCAAAGACTTCTAGTCGCATCAAAAAGGAAACAATCTGAAGAGGCTCCCACTGATCACACACGGGGCAATTTGAATATAAATTTAAGAATAGTAACCATAATAATAATTGTAATAACTGCTGAAACATCAAAATTTTTAAACCTATGAATTCATAATGATAATTTTTAAATTATTTGGTAATTTTTAGAGGATGAAATCAAGAATGGCTGCTAACATCACAAAAAGAGAAACAGGGGCGCCTGGGTGGCGCAGTCGGTTAAGCGTCCGACTTCAGCCAGGTCACGATCTCGCGGTCCGTGAGTTCGAGCCCCGCGTCAGGCTCGCATCAGGCTCTGGGCTGATGGCTCGGAGCCTGGAGCCTGTTTCCGATTCTGTGTCTCCCTCTCTCTCTGCCCCTCCCCCGTTCATGCTCTGTCTCTCTCTGTCCCAAAAATAAATAAACGTTGAAAAAAAAAAAATTAAAAAAAAAAAAAACCAAAAAGAGAAACAACTAGACAGTATATGCTTCCTGATGAAACACACAATATTAATTTAGCTTGTTTATAGAAAATAAAGGCAATAAATAAATAAAGGGAGGTACATGCTAAATAATAGATGATCCAGTTTATTCAACATAATAAATTACAAGGAGAAAAAGACAGAGAAAGGGATCAGCAACAACAACAAAACCATACTGAAACAGTTAAGTAGCTCATGAGAGAATCAGTGACTATATGACTGCTCTGAAGACATTGGATAGCATGCAATAGAGAAAAGGAGACTGGAAATATGAAAGGAAGGCTCACAGTCTAAAAGAAAAGACAAAGATCTTATTGGTCTTCCAGAAAATAACAGGATAAAACTATATTCAAAGATGTAATAGCTAAAATTTATTCAGAACTAACCAATTTTTTCTTTGTGTACATCATTTTTCATTTTTTCCAGAGTACATGCTTAGAAGATTCTGTTCATGATAAACTCTATCAATTCTGTTCATCTAAAAACATCTTTACCTTTGATCTGAAAAATGTCTTTTTTTTAAATGTCTTTATTTTACCTTTGATCATTTTCAGCCACTACAGAATATGGAGGTTCCTCAAAAAATAAAAAATGTAACTATCATATGAACCACAGTTCCACTCTGGGTATTTAACTGAAAAAAATGAAAACACTAACTCAAAAAAAGATATTTGTACCCCCATATTCACTGCAGCATTATTTACAAAAGTCAAGATATAGAAAAAACCTAAGCATCCATAGACAGATGAATGGATAAAGAAAATGCAACACACACACACACACACACACACACACAGAGGAATATTATTCAGCCATAAAAAATAAATCTAGCCATTTGCAACAACATGTGTGGACCTTGAGAGCATTATGCTAAGAGAAATAAGATATGCTAAGTGAAATAAGTCAGACAGAGAAAGAAGAAAAACGCCAAGCTTGTGGATATACAGAAATAGATTGATGTTGCCAGAGGCAGGGAGTGAAAGGTGTGTGAAATGGGTGAAGAGGGTCAAAAGGTACAAATTTTCAGTTATAAAATAAGTAAGTAATAAGGTTGACATGTACAGCATGGCAACTATATTCAGTTGAAAGCTGCTAAGAGAATCTTAAAAACTCTCATTACAAGAAAAAAATTCTGTAACTATGTAAGGTGACTTATGTTAACTAAATTTATTGTGGCAATAATTTTGCAATATATACAAATATCAAATCATATTGTATACCTGAAACCAATATAACTTTGTATTTCAATTATAGCTCAAAAAATAAAGACATATTTAAATGTATTGCCACGGAAAAGATCCAAAACATATTGCTAATTAAAAAAATATCCAGGGGCACCTAGGTGGCTCAGTTGGTTAAGTGTCAGACTCTTGATTTCGGTTCAGGTCATGATCTTATGGTAGTGGGATCAAGCCCTGCATCAGGCTCTGCCTCTCCCTTTTCCTCTGCCTCTCTTTCACTCACACTCTCTCTTTCTCTCCCTCTGCCTCTGCTCCACTCACACTCTTCCTCTAAATAATTAATTAGTTAATTCAGAATAAAAGTCCAGGCAAAGTTAGGATTTGAATCCAGGCAGCCTGGCTCCAGAGTCTGTGCTTTCAACTTCCAAACCAGTGAAGTAGAAATAAATACTGGAATAAATTTTATTTTTTAAATTTCAAATCTAAATCAATCCAAAACAATGCAAAATAAAACAAAACAAAAAATAAAAACAGAAAAAGTGAGACAAAGAGCACAAAATAAGATGGCTAAAAAGTTCAAATACATGAGTAATTATAATAAATAAAATAGTTAAAGGGAAGAAAAACTCCAACCCCATTAATGTTGATTTATTTTTGACAGAGAGAGAGAGAGAGAGAGA